TTCTTAGAATTATGAAATAACATATTAGAGGGCACTCTTTGAGTCACATTTCTTTCCCTACCCCAATTATTTAGTGAGCTTCCATGTTTGTCATACTAGTTTTTGCTCAGCTTTTTCTACTAATTCTCCTCTACTTGTCATGGACGGCTCACAGACGAACATCACGTTTGTATTTTCAAAATGCAGCTTCCATTCCTAAATCTACCGTAACTTCTCAATTCAACAGTTGCAACTCTTCATTAACCCACTCACAACAGGCAGAATTTGGTCTCGTGCGCGACCGAGGGTGCACCTGTCCCAGGTGGCAGTACTTTGGATCCATTATGTTGATCTTGATGAACGTTGCGCTGTGAAAGATGGCACTGTGGATCAAGCGGAGCAAAGAAACTTATTAATGATCTTCCTAGCCCATAAAGCTAGATATAGAGCTGCACAGTCCCTCAAAGTGATTGTTCAAGAATGACGTCAACATCAAATATTGAATCTTCTCGTTCTCTCAGCATGTTTGCACAATTCCTTAAAGTTTATGTAGTAAAACGATGTCTAGAGAACTAAATTTGTTGAGAAGTCAGCGGAGAGCCATTTTTTTTTGTTTCCCAGTGCAGGATCGGGTAAGCATGATGGTGCGAATGTTTCAATAATCCATTGAAAACTGATCTTATATGGTAAGTAATAATTAGCGAGATTAAGGACCATACTTTGATTATGCAGCAGATCTTATGTAAGTGCATGTGCGACTGATCAAAACACATTCTCTTTATAAGAAAGAACCAATCTTAAGTTTTCTTTTTATTGTATAATCCTCAAATGCATAGAACAGCGTGTGGTAGTTGGGTTATACTGCATGTAGTAAGGTCGGATATTCTTTTTCTCTTTCTACTTCACATTTAGGATAACCATGTCATTTTACATGTCTTTGTGATAACTGAAGAAAATAAGGGATGAATAATTTATTCATATCTTATCATTATCTCTTCTAAGGACATCCTGCAGCACCCCATTCATGAAGGAACTTATCGAAATACCATAAGTGTTGCAAGACAGCATCATCCTTTATTACATTACTACAGTAATCACCGTCGGCCTCTTGGCAAATGGTGTACGGTTGGCCTACAGCCATGTCATTGTCGTACCTTAAATCGACTTGATAGGATAGATAATATTGCTATTACACAAAAATACAGGAATCAAGATAAATATTGAGTCAAAATGTCAAAAAATGATTTTTTTCCGTACCATACTTCAAAGCGGTGATGGAATACTCTGTCAGGTCCAAGGCGTGGTGGTATGTGAGGTACAGGATCGTTTTGATGAACAATACGATAAGAATAAGGGAACTGAAGCAAGAATTGCAATTTGCTAAGTTATTGTTTGAATTTTTGAGCAATTCAACATGAAAGCTTTATTTAACTTCCATTAGGGGAAGAATAAAACGTACCGTAGCATCATGCCAAGTGGCAAAATCGTAGTCGCCAGTTCTAGGTTGACCGAATGTGACCAGCCTAACATTCTCTGGTGCCCACATATTCCATTTGACAAGATATGCAGCACATACGCTTGCCATCGATGCTCCCAAGGAATGACCAGTGACCTTTAAGATAGTTATGAAACATGGAAGAAGTTTCATAAATCAGCGGGTTTTTGATTTCTTTTTTTCAATTTCTAGGGTTTGAAACCTGTCATTGATTTATTGCAGATCCACATATTTACAAACTTTCATATGACTAAGATAGTATAGATTAGGGAGTTGTGTCTATATTCTTTCCTCTCTAATCTTATGTAGCGGTAATAAAATCATTCTTTTGTGACAATCCAGGCATGACCTTAATCAGCTTACCAGCTTAAAACAGTGCCAAAATTATGCGCCGTTCGCATTTTTTGCTTTCAAGCTTGTCTATTTTTGAACGCGAGTTTCTACAAGTGATGCTCGAGTTTGCATAGGAATTTCTATTCTATAAATATTTTAACAAAATTTTTTTCTGCCGGCTCACATTGAAATTATTACACAAAACTTCTCAGATATCTGATTGAGTATTAAGGCCTTTAATATGACTATGGTAACAAAGTAGTAATTTGTTCTGTTAGTTTTTCCAATTACTGCCACATCTAAATGTTTTGATATGTATAAGATCAATATTTTCGGCTGGATGTTCTCTTGCCGGCTGAACCAATTCTAAAATTAGGGTTCATAGCATATTAGGAAGTATATCCTTACATAAGCTTTGTAGTCTGGATATTGGTACTTCAATGTGCGAACTTGCTGCTCTAGCCCTGCATTCCACAAGTCCATAAACGCGTCGTTGAAATATTTGAAGAGGTATCCATTGTCAAAAAATTGCACTTTATGCCTAAAATCTGTTGAATCATAAGTCATCTTTTGTTGACATTTACATGAAACGCTTGCTTAAGAAAACTTTCAAACTCGTCGGCCAACTGTACACCAGAGCTTGTGCCCTCAAAGCTTATGATCACTGCCTTCTCGACTGGATCCCACGCTGTGTAGGCGTGACAACGTACGTCTAAAAGAAAACTTTATAGGGGAGATTTATTGATAAAAAGAGATAGATCAACGAATGATAAACGCTTACTTGGTTGATCGTCACCGCATTGGGTATGGATATCTTGATAATACGAAGCATGAGGTATTTGATTTCTGGAAGCAATGGGTCAAACACTTAGGCTATGAATAGGTTGAATATTCATCAGCGATGTATGCCAACCTACGCAACAAGGAAATGTGAATCTTTTTTTTCCAAAAGATGTAACTTCAGTTAGTGGAATTCTGCGTTATGATCCTTAAGTTTGCTTCAATAAAGCTCTTTTTTAATGAGCAGCGCGAGGCTGAGGAAGCCCAGTGCGTTTAGTTGGAGAACAAAATAAAAAGAAAGCACGGTCTAACTAAAACATTTTCATTTGGTGTTGTATTTGATTTTAGGTTAGGTAGAACGTCAAGAAATTTCTTTCTTATTTCTTATTTGGCAATTCATTTTAGTTGATGTTTTCCCATTCAGTTCAAGAATTACTAAATTAGGTTAAAATAATTTTCCTGCTAATACAGTATCTATAACAGCAAAAATAGCTAGTTCGTTCTTTTAAAATGATTGTTACTCCTATATAATCAACTCAGTACTTCAAGCATATAGCTGGGCTCAATGCATGAACTCCAGCCACGATTGGTGTGATGTAGTAACGGGCGAAAGTCTCATTGTAGGCGTAAGCCGGATTCGGTAAGCGTGGGCAATTTAGCTCTAGCTGGAATAAATCACATTTAAGCTGCTCGTTTAACGTTATAGATTAACTCACGTTAATGCGAGTATTGCATGTTGTAGTGGATTCCTCGCACGTTTTAGTTCCGGGACACCAACTAAAAAGTAGCTCTTGTCTGGGAATTCACAAAGCTTTTTGAATCGAAATCTTACACTTTATCCTGCTGAATACATTGTGCACATGCTTGCAAGTCTTGCGAAAGAGTTGATGTCACGCAGAGAGCGAGCAGGAAATTCAGCACAATCATTAGATTTATTTTTCAAGTTTGAAATGTCTATCTGCAAAGCTCAAAAATTTTTCTGTGAATTTTTTTTTACTATATCGGTGACAGGCATTTTCAAATAAGTGCAGCAAAAGCTCAAGTAGACTGTCAAATTATGAGAAAGACACTTTTAGCTGGATTTACAAAAATGA